TAAATTTATACCATTGGCGTACTTAACTCGAATGACTGACATTTTTACCGTTACTAATTGTTTGTACATAAGTTTCAACTTTAAAATCAAAATTCTTAATAAGTATTGGGCGGAATTATAAAATTTAAAGTCTGTTGTAAAGAGAATTGTAAGAGCTTTCAAAAGAAATATTACTCAACCCCCAATGCCATTTAAATATTTTGGGGTGATGCTTACCCTTGCTTGGGGGTGAAAGTGGCGGAGTCAAAAATACCAGCAAAGAATGTCTCCCTTTAATCTATAACCGACGGGTCTGAGCGTTTTTCTACAATCTTGACGCAGTTCCTGAAAATGGCTCTGTTTCGTTTTCATTTGGTCACCCTGTATATTGGTCTCTATGAATTATTTCCTATTATATTATTATATCTTGTCTATTTAGATATGATAGCAGTACTGCTATCATACACGTTGCTTTATCAGCACCTCTATCCGCAGCCCGAGTGTTGCACTGACAGAACTGATTTCTATAAAAAAAAAAAAAAATTACGTAAGTACAGTTTGTCTGGTAAGGATATAGCATACTCTCGGGAGTGTATAGGGAGGTTAAAATAACCCTAGTTTGTCATAAGAAAAAAAAATCCTAAAGTGCCCTTTAACGAAGATACAGAGCCCCAAAGCGATTTAGCTTTTCGGATCTAACTTTTGAACCAACGTGTATAATTTAATGAAATTTTAATATTTTATGTAGACCATAAAGGCCCATAAAACCACACTACAGTAGATCACTGTCAAGGAAGTCAGAAACGGATTAGCAACCACACTCGTTGGGCCAAAATTTTGACAGGTGTCATTTTATAAATCTGAAAACAGAATTTTTAAATACTTTGGTCATTCCTCTCTAAAAAAGGTACCCTACATTTATTTTGATAAAATTGTCCATTTTTGAAAAAATTTAGTTTTTTTATAACACGTCATTGAAATAATAAATCAGAATAGTGCAATAAAACACCGGTCGTTTATATGTCGTTAATAATGTTATTAACAACACATGTTAAAATTGTCTGATTGATTGAGAACACAAGACTAAATAATGAAGCATTATTCCTATAGCGAATATGCTGACATACATCCACATAATTTATGAACAAGCACTCGGCAATTGTGTTGAGGCAAGAAGAATTTATTCTAATACATTTCCAAATCCACGTTTACCGCACCGAACAATTTTTGAAAGGATTGATCGTAGCTTACGAGAATGTGGTAAAGAGTCAAATGAAATTTAAAAAATGCTAAAAGTAGCTAATCCATTTTAGGATGTTTTTTTCCGTGTCGTGGTGGAGAAGGGCCTCCAAGAAAAGCAAGGAACCTTCAGTTAGAGAAGGAAATTATGGATGAGATTGTTGAAAATCCTTCTAATAGTGTAAGAAAGCTGTCGGTCTAAGTCCATGCGACAAAACGGGCCTTTCATGAGACCCTTCCAGAACAACTGCTACATCCTTATCACGTCCAAAAGATACATGCCATGTCTCCCGCTGATTATCCTGCAAGAGTCTATTACGCAAATTGGTTTTTGCAACCATTTAGGCAAAATCTAAATTTTACTATTATTGTTTTGTTTACGGACGAAGCCTGTTTCAGCCGAGACCGTGTAATAAATTGCCATGATTTGCATATCTGGTATAAAGAAAATCCCCATAGAAAATCCTCATGCAATAATATAGACAAAGCACCAATTCCCACGGGGGATTATTGAGAATCATCTCATTGGACTGTTCTTTTTTGAAAACAGATTAAATCGTGTCAAGTATTTCAAATTCTTGCAACAAAGCTTAAACGGTTTATTAGATAGAAAATGTGCCCTTAGAAATTAGAAATTAGAAGACCTGATAGAAAGAATAACACACCATTGCAACGAAATCCTGGAATGTTTTAAGTACAACGAGAATATATCCGTCAGATAAAGAATTGTTTAGAGGTCCAGAGCGTTCATTTCGAAAATCTGCTTAAGTAAACAAGAAGCAACAAAGCCTTCGAATTTTTAACATATTTGGAAATGTATCAGAATAAATTCTTCTTGCCTCCACACAATTGCCGAGTGCTTGGTTGAGTAGTTATTGAGTTAAATCGTAACAAACAAAAAATCTATCGTCTTTCATCTAATGCGACCCTAATATTAAAATAAAATAATTCACGATATATCTATATACCTAAAGACAACAAACGAACTCAAAACTAAAAATACAAAACCTTTAAATTTAAAACAATATAGGTAACTACCAACAATGTGAAAACAAAACGAATTAAATTAAAGTACTATCAGGACTATCAATTTTAATTAGTAAGTAAGTAGCTAGGTATCTAACTACCTAAAGAAAACAAACACAAAACAAAAATGCGACTATGAAGTTTTAAATGATTCACAATAAGAAAAAACAAATTATTAAAACTCAATGAAAAAAGTTTGTTTGCAAGTATCTATGTATGTTCCAACTACCTAAAGACAACAAATACAAAACAAAAATGTAACCTTAAAATATCGAACGCAATTATAACTTTCCAACAACACCCAGAAAGAAAACACAGTCGTCAGTCGTCACCTTCATTCGCTCCAAGTCAGTTTATTAAAGGATCACGCGCGCGTTATCGTTCGGCTTATTAGCTAAACAGTAGGCAAGACGGTGCGGGGGGAGGGTCGGCGATCGCATCAAGCGAAGCGAGGCGCTTGAATTTTATTCTCGCGTCCGTAATTTTTTTGCGATTACTCCTAAGATATTCATTTAAATTATATGGTGTAAATGAGTAAAATAATGTGCATGAAATGCTTAAAGCCTCTAACTTATTTAAAATGATAAGGATTAATACCGTATTTGTGTAAATGGCTTTTACATTACCGCTTTATAATTGTCAATTTTTTAAAGTATTAAAATGGATATAGGTAGTATTTTATCTTTAACATATAGACATATGTCATCGCGGACTTTTCTGTAGGCATATATAAGATACACAATTCCACCATACATTGATACACTACATAAACTTTCGTACCCCCACGGCTCGGACGCTAGGCGCGGGGTCTAGGGCGCCCGCGCGACTCGGTCGAATCACGGCGTCACGAAATTAATTTCGTTGCGCATTATTTTGATTTTGCTATATCTCCTAAGGTATTCATTTAATTTGCATGGTGTAAAGGGAAAAAATAATCTTCATGAAATGCTCAAGCCAACTAACGTATTTAAAATGATAAGGATTAATACCGTATTTGTGTAAATAGCTTTCCAATTACCACTTTATAATTGCTCATTTTTTAAAGTATTAAGATGAATTGTTTCGTTGAAAGCTCCCAGACGGCCTATTTTTTTCCGACATCTCCAACAAATATCGTTAATGTATATAAAAACTTAACAAATTATATACTAAAACCTTCCTCGAGAACCACTCTATCCATTGGTGAAAACAGCATGAAAATCGGTGTAGTAGTTTTTGAGTTTATCGCGAACAGACAGAGAGACAGACAGACTGACAGACGCGGCGGAGGACTTTGTTTTATAATATGTAGTGATAGTGATGACGTTAGTTATCGTGTTTAAATAGCTTATGTTAATAAACTTGATAATTAAATAAATTTCGAAAATCAATACTTAAACGTGTTATGCAAAAACTTATTTTTTTCCAAGACATTTAATTCTATCGAAATAAATGTAGAGTACCATTTTTAAAGAGGAATCACTAAAGTATTTCAAAATTCAATTTTCAGATCTGTCAAAATTTTGGCCTAAAAATTCCTGAACATCCATACTGAAATGCGGAGGCGCACCATCCTGCATAAACCACATTTCACGGCAAAATTGTAAAGGTAAATCTTCCAGTAGTTCAGGAAGAATATTTTGTAAGAAATCCAAATAAGTGGCGCCGTTTAAGCAGTTTGGTAAAATAACTGGACCAACCAAATATCGCCCAACAATACCTGCCCACAGAAAAATTAATATGAAAAATCCACTTGTTTAGGTGTCCTCTACACGCACCTGTTCTATGTCCATTGAGTTGTGAATCACCCTGTATTAAATATGATAAATTCTTTAAATATAACGATAGGCCTACGTGGAATAATAGATCAAATCGTTTTAAAAATTTGGCGTCATTTTGAAATGGCGAAAAGTTAGTTTATAGTAAATAACAATAATCTTGAATTAATATTTTTACAATTCTACAATAAAGTAATGCATTTAATATATTTTATTTAATAATTTTAAGTACTAAATACTTATTTTACATTTAATATTGCTGAATTATTGTTAAAGTTACATCAATAAAGCGAATTTTTATTGATATTCCAAGATATTACCTACTAATTCACAAAATCGCTGACATTTTGTTTTGATCATTTATTACAACCGCATGAACGTCATGTCACTTTTCTACGATTTTTAATATTCAAAACTTATTTTTCTAAGATAAATCGTGTTAAAAGATAGTGCTGTTCGACATAAAATACTTTTATGCTATCATACATAGCCTAATAGTGTAACACTAAACTTTTTACAACTGAATGTTCAACCAAAAAGTAGCAAAGTTAACAACCACCTCTTGCTTGAACGTCGTAGTCTGGGAATTCCCCCGATTTCTTTATCTAATGCGCCTTGCGCAATATCATTTACAACAATATAGTACTTACCTACTCGTACAATAAATCTACATATTCCAAAGATACACTAAAATTATGTAATTAATTATTTTATTTAATATTCTATTGACATTAACTTTATTTCACTCAGTCTTTATTTGGGTATTGCTTGATATATTTTGCTGCGATGTGTATTGATATGTAATTGGTAAAGTATTTGTCCAATATATTTCATCTTATCGTTTTTTTAAATATCAAACGACACTTATCTTTAAAAAATATTGTCATCCATACATCCTATAAAAATGCCGTATACAAATCTAACTAGAGCAAAAAAAATGCTATGCTGCTTAAGAATGATTTTATTATTTAAATTGGACAAGTATAATAAAAATCTAAACTAAGAAGTTTGACTGAACATGCATTCCGATTCGTGCGTACGCAATCTGGAGACATTGCCTATCAACGGACACCCATTGATGTTGAATTGGCAGGGTATTTCCACGTCGTCGGCCATCTCCTCCAGGGTGTAAATTCTTGGTCCATCAAGAGAAGCCTGGCATGTGGGGCATTTCTCCAATCGAGATTTACACTCCATGCAGATGGTGTGGCCACTAACACACGCGAATATTGGAGCTGCCATATACGTCACGCAGTAGGGACATGTCAGAGCTTTCCTATTAACCTCCACATTGAACTGTACGGGATTTTGTTCCTGTTCCTTTCTACCTTTTTCGTCCTTGGATTTATCTGCATCCACAGATTCGTCAGCGATTAATGTTACGTAAAACCTGTAAGAAAATGAATGTTGTTTTCGATAATATCTAGAACGAGGTCCTTACAGCAAAACCTCAATTGCATTGACAAAAAGTTAATAAAAGTCTACATCTGAAAGATATAATTTATGATACCTTATATAAGTAGAGCAGTTATTAAAGATGTTGGTAAGGTTATTGCTAAGTTTGTTCGTAAAATTATTTGCATTAATTTTATCTATGTTATTATTATAGGGAATAACGGGCAGATTATCGATAGACACCGCATAGTAATCTTCTGCATTTATTTTCAGTTTAACATTAAACTTAGTGTATTTGCTGTATCTGGTACTCATAACAGCTACCCTATTCCACTGTCGAATGTAAATGAAGAAGTACTGTCTATCTACTTCGACAAAGAATATATAGTTATTTCTTATATGGATTCGCCAACCATTCTTACTGAAGTCGTTGTTTATATTCTCCTTGTGTTTGTCGGTGATATGTTCTCCAAGACGATCGATTAATATCTCGCCGAAACATACGGGGCACTTTATGGTCTTGTAATGACAATTTCCTTCATGTTGCTCCACCTTACTCCACGGTAACATTTCCGTGCACGGAGGGTAGGAACAAGGAAAACAAAAATTTTGAGCTATCTCTTCCAAGAAACGGTTTCGAGTCCAGCGATACTTCTCGCAATTAATTCTTTGACACCTGCCGCACTTATACAGTTCATCAATGTTTTTATCATCCACATTTGCAATACTGACAGGCAGGACGGATAAAAGGCAGTCACAGACTGAGCATTTATACTTTTTTACGACTTCACATAAATTGCTCTCCATTTGGATCTTGAAGTCTGATTCTGAAAATAATCAGAACGAAATGACATGAAGTGTTACTGTATGTATTTAAAGGGGCAAACTACTTAATATAGGTTTCATATTGGCATAAAAAAATCAAAAAACGGATTCTCAATCGAAACTGAAAAATAATTTATTAGATAGACTTGCTCTGCTTGGAACCTTCGCTTTTAAAATACAGTATTAAAAACTTAAAAAGTTGTGTCTAAATACTTTCTGGACGACTAGAGACGATTAAATCAAAATTTTCTATGCACGATACATGAGCAAAATGACATTCAACCTGAAAAAATTAGTGACGCAAATATTAGCCATGTTGGTTAAATTTCTCTTAGAAATTATGGTATGCCACTAGGAAAACATTATTCTTTATGCCCACCATGCGTCGTCTGGATGAAATGCGAAGTAATCTCACGGGAGAGAAAGTGAAAATGGATAAAACCCTTGACCTTCTACCTTTAAATTCATCAAAACAAAATTATTTACACAAAGATGTATTTATTTATTCATTATTTTATTACGCCGTCAGTCAGCTACGCGAGCTGCTTAAAACTATGGTTTGTTAGAACTGTAACGCAAAGCAGACAGTCAGTTGTGCGCATCGGACTTACGTTGGAATCTAGAACACAAGAAGGTGCGTAGCTGGTTCCTTAGAGTCTGCTTAAGCTAAGGTTTGTTAGAGCTGTAGGCGACACAAAGCAGACAGTCAGTTGTGCGCGTCTGTTAGAAAACATTCGATATTCACTTTTATTTTGACGAAGACAATTAATTAAATTTAAAAGATCTTTTTCATGATCTTTCTCAATAAGTATTGTCAGCAAAAAATGTTCAGCCACTGTCATGAAAAAAAAAAAATTTGCCAAAATAATAATAAATATTTTCGTCTGCACTTATCAGCATACAGTCACAAGGACTAAATCTAACAAAACACCCCCCTTCAAAACCGATAAAATTAAAAGCTACAGATTCTGCTAACCGCATACGTCGTCTGCGACGCACAGCTCTAACAAACCAAAGCTTTAAGGCCGATTCTCACTTGCGTGCAAGGCATGTGCTCGGCACAGGCAAAGCACCGGCTCGGCAAAATATCTTAACCATTGTATCTTATGGGTTTTGAGGGGTGTAATTCACCACCTGCCTAGCAGTCGGTTTAGTCGCAGATTTCTCTGTAGGTAATCGAACGATTTCTTTTACGATTTTAGTGGTCTTTTGATGCATAATTTGTGTATAACTATGTCGAGCGTAGTTAGTGCTAAAAAACAGCAAACAATTATTGACTAAACTATACTGACTAAAAAAAACTAATTTACCGGTAAGTAGCTATAAAATTATTAACATATAAAATTTGAAAATTGTGGAAATTACCATGTCGGACCAGTTTGGAAGTAGATTATTCAACTATGCAAATATTACATCGGTAATGTCGAACGATCGTCCTCTTCAGATTAAGATATTTTATCACCACCGCGAATAAGTTTCGCTGAAACAAGGGTAGGAACATACCTGATGATGCGATCTATAGCGGATCCCATCCAGATTGTGGAACCGATGGCAACGATGCGTAAAACAATTTACCTGTTTCACAATGATACAATGACATAAATCTTACAATGTCACAATCTCACTTTATTTTAAGGGGGGCGTTTTTATGCGCAATTTTCAATAAATTTTTTGTCCAATTGCTTAAAAAATCTAAGCAAGTTAGAAACGATATCTCTTCACTGTACTACTCAAACAAGTGTTCTTCAGGGTGTGAGATAACTGACAACACATTTTAAGTAAGAAAAAAAAAACATATTTTTTTATCTTACGTTTCCTGAACTTTACACGACTGTTGAACATATAGATAAAAGCGTACGGTATTATAAACATACCCACACCCAGCAGAATGCTTTTAGGATACTATTTATACATGAATTAATAAGAANGCCGTGCATGTTCCGGCAAGTGTGAATACTCTCCAGGCAGTCAACTTGCAATCATAGGGTTTTAGTTGAGTTTCGTCAGAACAAGATGAAATTCTTATTGAATATATCAGAGAAAATGAGGTTATTTACGATTTTTCTCACAAAAAAATACTAAAGACAGCGTATACAAAAACATGATATGTAAAAAAATTGGCAAATTGCAACAAGGTAGGTATATTTATTAAACATGTATTAATCTATACAGATATATTAAAACAAACACGATTTCTTAACAATCAAATTTTGTAATTTAAAAAAACGTCTTTTTCTTTTTCGGGAATTTTTATTTTCTTGCTCTTCATCTAAGATTAGAACAATTTTTACCAAAATAGAAGTCGCGAACATTATTTCACAAAGCTAGGGAACTACTACCTGCGGCATGACTGTCGCAGTGTGAATTGTCTCTGAAAAGTCGGCCCATGCCGAGTATGTGACCTGCCATTGCCGATCCGGTTTCTTGCTCGTCTAATGAAAATCGGCCTTTAAGCTATGGTTTGTTAGAGCTGTAGGCGACGCAAAGCAGACAGTCAGTTGTAAGCGTCAGACTTACGTTGGAATCTAAAACTCAAGAACAAGCGTAGCTGGTTTGTTAGAGTCTGCTTAGGTGGACTCACGGTAGGCAGAAAATTATGTGCGTCGTCCGTTCAGTCGAAATCAAATTGGATTTGAATTCAACGCAGTCGCTCAGTTGAGCTCACAGCATACAGTGCTAAAAAGAGGAAGACGAGAAATTAATCGATCTCGTACGAGAACATCCCCCATTGTATACCGTTCCATCCAAATGTGTTAGAAAACATTGATCTTCACTTTTATTTTGACGACGACAACTAATTAAATTTAAAAGATCTTTTTCATGTTCTTTTTCAATAAGTATTATCAGCAAAAAATATTCAACCATTGCCAGGAAAAAAAAATTTGCCAAAATAATAATAAATATTTTCGTTTGCACTTATCAGCACTAAATCTAACAAAACACCCTCCTTCAAAACCGATAAAATTAAAAGCTACAGATTCTGCTAACTGCATATGTCGTCTGCGACGCACAGTTCTAACAAACCAAAGCTTTAGCTGCCTAGCAGTCGGTTTAGTCGCAGATTTCTCTGTAGGTAATCGAACGATTTCTTTTACGATTTTAGTGGTCTTTTGATGCATAATTTGTGTATAATTATGTCGAGCGTAGTTAGTGCTAAAAAACAGCAAACAATTATTGACTAAACTATACTGACTAAAAAAAAACTAATTTACCGGTAAGTAGCTATAAAATTATTAACATATAAAATTTGAAAATTGTGGAAATTACCATGTCGGACCAGTTTGGAAGTAGATTATTTAACTATGCAAATATTACATCGGTAATGTCGAACGATCGTCCTCTTCAGATTAAGATATTTTATCACCACCGCGAATAAGTTTCGCTGAAACAAGGGTAGGAACATACCTGATGATGCGATCTATAGCGGAACCCATCCAGATTGTGGAACCGATGGCAACGATGCGTAAAACAATTTACGTGTTTCACAATGATACAATGACATAAATCTTACAATGTCACAATCTCACTTTATTTTAAGTTGATGATTCGTACCCCTCTGGTGCGCGGCAAATTATGACAGCTCACTATTATTACTTCTCTGCTTTACACACCTAACGTTTTTTTTAAATTTTTTGTGGGCTCTTTTTTGCGAGAATGTACAATGCTTACTCTACGCGTGCCGCTTAACAGGTATTACATCTATTAAGAAGGTAATTAATATTTTATTTGATAATTATTTACCATATCAAAAACTTCAAAATCCTCACAAAACTTTATATATCCCTCTATTTCCGATGGAGCTGAACCCGATTCTTATTTTTGTGCGGTCGAACATAGCTTTCGAGAAAACAAAATTAAGATTTTAACCTGTAGATGTAGGTACAATTAACACAACTCATTATTTACAACATTGCACCGTCTTTTAAAAGATGTACAATTAGAGATCCAATTGGTAATTCCTGAGAAACATGGTTTTCGTTTTTAATGAAAATAACAAAAAAAAAGACTATTTTAACATCATTTGTCATTTAAATAGTTATTTCTCTCATGCGTCTGTTATCTTGCAACTGATGTATCTGATGAACCATACTTTTCGCTTTTATGAATTCTGGGCATAACTCTTAAAACAAGCATTTTTTTGGGTCGCTGAGTCTCACCTCACCTCACCTCACCTCACCTCACCTCACCTCACCTCATGTTTAAGGTCGCAGAACACCGTATACAGGGTGGTCCGAATTTTATGCAGGAAACTTCGAGGGCAGATAGATCTCTTTAAAATAATATGTGTTTGCCTTATAAACATAGGTCTGGAGCGGACCCGTTTTTGAGATACAGGGTGTTGAAGATGTTAAAAAAAATTGATTTTTTGTTTATATCTCAGGAATCTATTAATCGATCTCAATAAAATTTGGTACAGATAATCTATGATAGTAGGCCTTGCATTCTCTAAAATATGAGCTCTAAAAGTACAACCAGTGGTGTACAACTGGCAGGGGTCATCTTTTTTTATAAAAAAAACCTAAGCCACTGCATTTTTTCCAAATAATTGTAACGGATTTATATTCTAATGCACAAAATACCTAAAAAAGGTAACTTGAATTTTTTCCCTAAGATTCCCTAAACCCCCTGGAATTCTATTTTTGGGGTTACCTGAAAAGTAAATTTTATTCTACTCCAACAGATACAAGACTATAACTACTGCAATTAATAGAAGACGGGTGTAATGAATTAAAGAAAACCACCAC